CCCAAAAAAAAAAAAAAAAAAAAAAAAAAAAAAAAAAAAGCATTATAAGGAAAATTATAAAAATGGATGGGATTTGTTTATGGGAGTTTTAAAAATAGCCATTTATTTGTCATCTTCCCTCAAAAAGGAACTGAGTCCTTCAATGCAAAACAATTTCCCGCTGGAAGAAACTTCAATTTCCATGGTTGTAAGCAGCGGTTTCGGAGCAGATCCTCTTCTGGGCTGCCCATTAATTCTCCTCTTAAATGAGTATGAACCAGAAAATTCGAAGCGATCGCTTTCTCAGTCATCCATTTTCGTTCTTTGATTTGATTTCTCGTTCTTTTCCATTTATTCGTTTATATAATTCGCTTTTTTTCTCTTGAATTTCTGAGTTTCAGAGCTCGAGTTTCGCCATGGATTCTCGATTTTTTCTTGCATTTTCTCTTTGTTTCCTCTGTTCATTCCCTCTATTTGCTCGCTCCGCCAATCGATTGCCGAAATTACTCTTGGACGACACGAAAACGTAATAATACTTCATTGATTTCTCTGTTTTTGTTTATCTCCGTTCATCCGATATTTGAAAATTTCACCTAATTGATATGATTTTCACAGGGAAGATTCTGTTATTAGGATGAAAATGGACGGTTCCTCCATTAAAATCGATCCCACTCGGGTCGTTCAGCTTTCATCGCAACCCAGGTCCGTAACGTTCTTAATTTTTTCTATGAATTTTCCTGATGAAGTCTAGAATCTTGCACATTTTGGGCTATATGTTTCCATTTTTTTCTTTTTTTTTGCTCAATTAGATGAACATATACAGGGCTTTCTTGTACAAGGGATTTCTGTCTGCAGAGGAGTGCCAGCATCTTATCGATTTGGTATGGTGAATTTCTCTTTGTTCATTTTCCTTTTCCTGTTTGGAGGCTGAGAAAAATTGATCCTCGGACTTAATTGTGTATAATTGTGAAATCTCACGTCCATTGTTGTTGTGGAGGAGAATGAAACACTCTTTACAAGAGTTTAGAAACCTCTCCCTAGTCTTTTATAAGAGTGTAGAAACCTCTCCTAAGTAGACGCGTTTTAAAAATCTTGAGGGAAAGTTTGAAAGAGAAAGCTGAAAGATGACAATATCGCTAGCGGTGGGCTTGAGCTGTTACAAATGGTATCAGAGCCAGGCATCGGGTAGTGTGCTAGTGAGGATGTTGGGCTCCGAAGGGGGTAGATTGTGAGATCCCACATCGACTGGAGAGGGGAACGACATCGATTGGAGAGGAGAATGAGTGCCAGTGAGGATGCTGGGCTCTGAAGGGGATGGATTGTGAGATCCCATGTCGGTTGGGGAGGAGAACGAAACATATAAAGAGTGTAGAAACTTCTTCCTAGCAAATGCGTTTTAAAAACCTTGAGGGGAAGTCTGAAAGGGAAAGCTCAAAGAGGACAATATTTGCTAGCGGTTGGCTTGAGCTGTTACAAATGGTATTAGAGCTAGACACCCAGCAATGTGCCAGCATAGATGTTGGGCCTCGAAGGGGGGTGGATTGTGAGATCCTACATCGATTGGAGAGGGGAATGACATTGATTGGAAAGGAGAACGAGTGCCAGCAAGGACACTGGGCTCTGAAGGGTATGGATTGTAATATCCCACGACGGTTGGAGAGTAGAACAAAACATTCTTTATAAGAGGGCAGAAACCTCTTTCTAACATACACGTTTTAAAAACCTTGAGGTAAAGCTCAAAGAGTACAATATCTGCTAACGATGGACTTGAGCTGTTACAAATGGTATTAAAGCCAGACACTTGGTAATGTACCAACAAGGATGTTAGGCCCCGAAGGGGGTGGATTGTGAGATCCCACATCGACCGGAGAGAGAAACGACATCGATTGGAGAGGAGAACGAGTGTAGGCAAGGACGTTGGGTCCTGAAGGGGGATGGATTGTGAGATCCCACATCGGTTGGGGAGGAGAACGAAGCATTTTTTATAAGAGTGAGCGAACGCGTTTTAAAAACCTTAAGGGGAAGCCCAAGGAGAACAATATCTGCTAGCACTGGACTTGGACTGATACAATAACTGTCATATACTTTTTGTACACTGGACTTAGACTGATACAATAACTGTCGTATACTTTTTGTAGGCGAAGGATTACCTAGAGCAATCATTGGTGGTCGATGACATTACGGGTGCAAGTCGTTCGAGTACTGACCGGACGAGTACCGGCATGTTTCTTTATAAGGCTCAGGTATTTGACCTCAGTATTAACAAAATATCTGCCAGTTTCTGCAGTTTAGATTCCCTTTTCCAATACTGTTCTCAAATGGGCTTCATAAAATTCATGAAAATTTGATTTAGTGTTCATCTAGATTGGCCTAAGTTTGATGTGGTCTACTATAAAGACTATCAGTAAGAACAGATTGTTCAAATTTATGCATTAAAGAAGAACAAGGACGGCCTTGACACAGATATAATACTACAAGTGTGGCATAGTTGCTAACATTGAGTCCCCTTCCCCTCCCCAGGATGACATAGTTGCTGGCATTGAGGCCAAGATTGCTGCATGGACGTTCCTTCCCGTCGGTAAACGACTTATAGATCTTTCGATGTTGTATCATTTATTTATTTACAGAATGAGGCTCGTAAAATCTCGAAATTGCTCTTTCGGATCAGATAATGGGGAGCCTATACAAATACTAAGGTATGAAAATGGTCAGCAATATGTACCACATTTTGATTTTTTTCAAGATCCAGTTAATGTAGCTGCTGGTGGTCATCGGATAGCCACAGTCTTGATGTATTTGTCCAATGTTGAAAGGGGTGGAGAAACTGTCTTTCCCGATTCTCCGGTATTACTTTCTCCGAACGCTAACTGCTCTCGTTCGGACCTTTTTGTAATTCGTTTCGAGTTGAAGTTTGGAACTTGTTTATGAATTGTTGCAATTTATAATTTCCCTTTGACAGGCTAAAGTATTCGAGGAGGAGAACAAGGATTTGTTCGATTGCTCTACGACCGGTTATGGAGGTATTGAGTTTTTTTCTTCAAAAATATGTTATCACGGCTAAGTTAAGAGCATGATTCTGATACCATGTTAGGACAGCCCAAGCCCACTGCTAACAAATATTGTCCTCTTTGAGCTTTCCCTTTCAGACTTTCGGTCAAGGTTTTTAAAATGTGTTTGCTAGGGATAGGTTTCCACCTCCTTATAAATAATGATTCGTTCCTCTCTTAAACCAAAGGGCAAAATCCCTGGATTTGGTGGATCTTACCGTCCACCCCCTTTGTAGCCCAGCGTCCTCGCTGTCACTCGTTCTTCTTTCTAATCGACGTGGGATCTCACATGTTCTCTATATCATGGAATTCAATTCTAGTTTCTTTTTTGTTAAAATCGGGCAATGACGACTTGGAGATCTGTTTATTGGTAAACTTTTACTTTGAAACAAAAAGCCAGCTAAGAAACAAGTAGATATTGTCCTCTTTGGGTTTCCACACTCTTATAAAGAATGTTTCGTTCTGCTCCCCAACCGATCTGGAATCTCACAAAAAAAAATCATCTTCTTAACTTCTCGTCATCTTCATCTTTCTTTTGCTCGTTGCATCACATTTTGTCTTCAAAAGAGAGTGTTTATTTGTTTATGGCTGCAGTTAAGCCAAAGAAGGGCGACGCTCTACTATTCTTCAGTCTCCATCCAAACGTGACGACAGACCCGACGAGCTATCACGGGAGCTGCCCAGTGATAGAGGGGGAGAAGTGGTCTGCAACAAAATGGATTCACATGCTACCAGTAGATGAGATTTGGAGGAATCCAGATTGTGTGGATGAGAATGAGCACTGTAGTGCATGGGCCAAAGCAGGTGAATGTGAAAAGAACCCTGGTTATATGGTGGGTTCTTCCTTGGGTTCTAAGGAAGAACTTGGATATTGTAGGCTTAGTTGCAAAGCCTGCTCTCCTCCCTCATAAACAAATGCTCACATGCCTCCTTATTTATACACAAATTTGAGGTTAGAGTTCTTTCTTTCTTACACGCACACATGTAAATGACATTGACAACTTTCATTTGATATATATATATATATATACACACATGTACGTGGATTGAAATCGAATATATAATCCAGGTACTCTTTCTTTTGAATTGTTTATGAACTGATTAGGTAGGCTTGTTAACGGCTCTTAGCCTAACTATGGACTAGGATACGCTCACTCTATAAAAAACTAGTGAAAAAGAGAGGAACGTGAATAAAGTATCATGGTGTACGCATTCGTTTACATGCTAGAGAAGTAATCCATGATCGTATGAAATGTAACATGCATGAGGTTACACGCACCTGTAACCTGTAGACGCTCCAATAGTAAGTTCATTTAAGTTCATTTGAGCTCTTTAAGTCAGAGTTCGAATACGTGGTTTTCTCACAATGATGTGAAGAATTACGAGATCACGAAGCTTAAAAAAAAGCATTTTCATTGTTGTGAAGAGTTAAATTATTACAATTTTAGTAGTTGAAGTCCACATGAATAATTGTATAACGTTATTTAATTTATTTATAGGATGTGAAAATTGTTTAGTTGTTGGTTGATTGGTCATAGTGAATTGGTAGGGTTAGATGGATGAGTGGAGGAGTCGGTTGAATGTAGAGTACACATTCAACCTTTCATATTCCAGTCCAATTAATTACTTTTAACTGTGATGTTCCACGATGTTCTACGTTAGTTGAGGAGGAGAACGAAATACCCTTTATAAAGTGTGGAAATCTCTTCTTAGTAGATGCAAGTCTCCAGGAGAAGTCCGAAAGGAAAAACTCAAAAAAGAAAATATTTGCTAGCGGATTTGAGTCGTTACACCAACATAATTACTCCCATCACTAATGATTTCAATCCAAGCTCGTTTTTTTCGTGTTAACTTTTTATATTAAAATCATTGCTCTTATTCTTAGTCGATAGTATATGTTCGACTTAACTATGACGGAATTTTAGTCTGTTCGGAAATAAGGAGCTACAAAGCATTCGAGGCAAAATTACAAATTTACCCCTAAGAGGGAGAGAGAATTAATACTTATTTTTAAGAACATAAAACAATTTAAAATATGGGTTTTATGTATGGTTTAAATGAAATGAGTGTGAAAGAAATAAATAGAAGAAGTAGACATTTGGAGACACATTTTAAGTCACTATTGGGTGATTATGAAACCAAACCATACATTATTTTACAAATGTACGGATTATACTTCCCAACCAAACAACCCCTCTTCCATATATATATATACATGTATGTATGTATATATATATACATGTATGTATGTATATATATATACATGTATGTATGTATATATATATACATGTATGTATGTATATATATATATGTATGTATATATATATATGTATGTATGAATATTAGTCCCTACAAAGTGTACATCGTTTGGGTTGAATTTTTTTTTTTTTTTTTTTGAAGAAATTCCAAATTTTTAACCCATCCGCTTATAATTCATAATCCAACTTAACTCTCTATTTTAAAGTTGGATTAGGTTAGGTTCTCAGATTTTTATTATTATTATTTAAAAAAAAATCTTGCTTATCCAAAATACATGGTTACATTAATACTAAAATTTTATAAAATTTAAATATTAAACATTTACAAATTACAACATATTATTAATATCAATTACAAACGTTAAAAATCTTAATCTTTTTAAAATTCGGATTTTATTGGATTGAAACCTTAGGGTTGGTCAGATTTACCCGACCATACAAATGTCACATGGCAATTCAAACAAAATTTTCAAGAAAAGAATTTAAGTTGAATTGGAGCCGTCTGAATTGGTCGGATTATCTAATCATATAAACACCCCTATCTATATGTAATAAATTTGGTCTTTCATGTTTAAATAATTATAAAAATTTATATATATATATGTTCAATAAATTATAGATTACAAAACATATGCATAATACGTTTGAAAAAAGATCCGTGTATAAATTATCCCATACGAAAAAAATAGAATTTTTTTATTGAAGTCGAGACCTCCAAATTTAAATTATTTTATGCGAACTAGGTTTAGCTAGTTTAAATTATTTGATGTTAAATTAATTTTAACTCGTTTAAATAATTTTATGATAAAATATTAGGTAACCCATAGTATTAAATTATTTGATGCTAAATTAATTTTAGCTAGTTTAAATTATTTTATGATAAAATATTAAGTAACACAATTATTATAGTAGAATTATAATTTATCTACGACTCCTTAAATAGAATTAAAATTTAAGGGGTTGTACTAGCTTTGCCCTAGACCATGGCTTTACTATCGACATAATTGGAAGAGTTGTCTTATCTATGATGACATGTGCCCAATGCGATGCCGTGTCGTATATTTAATATGTTTGTTATTTTTTATAATACGATATGTTTCAATGATATGATATGGTTTGTTATAAGATATGACCAGTAACATTAAAATACAAATGCATGACGTATTATGCTTCGATGAATTATGATATGCTATGCTATGAAACGTCATGATATACTATGACATGATTACGTTGACCATAACATGTATGACATGCGATGAAATGTTTTGAGACGAGGAGATTTATGACCTACAGCCCTAAGACATGTTTTAAAATTTATGTTATGAATTAAATGAAATTGAAAAAAAGGGTTATCTTGCTTGATTTATTTACAATAAAAAAATTTAAGTGCATGAGAATACTTCCCCTTATGATAAATACGGACATGTACGTTATGCAAGGGGAAATGATCATCATGTTTATCATGATGCTACAATGGTTGTTATTCCTTTTAGGTGTTTGGCAACAACACCAGAGACGCTAGCTAGATCAGCAAGAGGCTTAGGGAGTGTGTGAACCGCCTGGTGGATCCATATTCGTATGTGTGGGCCATGTGTAGAATAGTAAATACACATCCAATGACCCAGACTGGAAAGCCGCTTGAGAGAATACGATTTTAAATGATAATCTCATTCATGTTATGTGTGGTTTCATTGCCTAACATAACCTCAAGCCTTGTGTTGCTCTTATATTTTAGGTAAAGATGAGGCACCCCTGCACGTTGACGGCGACGTCGCATTAAAAACCATGGAACGTACGTAGGATAATTGCATTTATTTTGTAAATCTTATGTTAGTGTAGGGTATTGTTCTTCTTACTATCTTCCTTTCGTTTATTTTGAGTTTGGGTTGAATATTTCTCTGGCTTTATTTTAAGATTTTTATACAAACATGTAAATCCATAACATCGTTTTATGAAATGATTTCAAATGAATCTTTTTGCAAATTATATTAGGTATTTAATAGATACTCTATTTTAGCAGAAAATTAGGTTCCCCTTACCTAAATGTGAAGAATCATAACTTTTTGTAACAATAGTGAGTGATTATTTAAGAACCTACTTCGCCAAATTCATCCATCCCCAATAGGGTCAATATTTGTTCTAAATTTTCAAACTTAATCAAATTTGTGTTTAGCTAAAAAGAGCACAACTTTTTAATAGTAATAAATGACCCGTGTTATTGATTAAGACTAAAAATTCAGATCTTTTCTTTTTTTTTTTTTTTTTTTGCTAGGTTTTTGTTCACAGAATTATAATTTTTTTGAAAAAAAGTCCGCACATGCATTTAATAGATTATCAAACAAAGAATATGACAGTAAATTGAATATATAAATAAAATAAAAATTGAATAGAAAGTAAAAATTATATATAACTCATTTTTGAAAGTGAGATAATGACATTTATAGTTAGTAAAAATTAATTGATTAAAGTGGAGTATTGGCAATAAAGTATGTCTACTTTTTTTTTTCTTCTTGAAGTTTGAACGGTTAGGTAACTAAATAATAATGATAAAGTAAATGAATGTAGTGTTAATTAAATGAACTTTTATGATTTATTTATTGTAATTTTGATGTTTATTTGGTTATTTTAATTTTTTATGCACTCATTTATTTTATTTTATTATGTTGAAATCAGCCTTCCAGGGAAAAGGAGAATTTAGGGAAACTATGGTAAAACTGAGAGCAAGTGAATAAAAATAGAAGAAATTTAGTGAGAAAAGTCAAGCTCAGGTAATAGTGTTAAAAGCTCGAGGTAATTTCCTATAAATATATATATATATATATGTTCTTGCCCTCCTTCTCGATGAAACATTTGATTCAGACTATTAAAATTGATAGATACATATCCTTAATTTACGAGTTTGATAAATAAATTTCACCAACTATGTAAACTTAGGGCTTTTAAGATAATTTATTTGATACCAAAATTCAAGCTTTTCAGATCCACATATCCAAACAAAATTACCTATTATCTAATCAACATTATATCATCTAAACTAAATCACAAACATAAACTAAATATATGTTAGATAATCAAACATAAACTACTCGACCGACATACCTCAAATCACACTATGACTACAAAAGTTGGAGGTATTTAGTTTAAGCATACTATTTAGAAATCTTTCATCTTATAGATTCTATAAACTAATTTCTAAAATATGTGTCAATTGTAACATAAATTTGCAACATTTATTATCCTGAAAAAATGAGGCCTAAAACTACACAAAACTCGAGTTTTTCTAGTTTTCAACTTCGCTAACTACATAAACTTGTACGATTGAAATGCTCGTAAGGAAATCCCAGAGTGAGATGGAATCTTCCAAGAGAGATGTGCGAGCATTACTGTGAGAAGCAAAAAGATGTTGCGATTAGAGAGATGAAAGAAAAAGGGAATCAATAAAAGAAGAAAGAAGAGTGATTGACATTGGTACACATGATAAGCAGTACACAAAAATAAAAATTGTCACGTTATTAAAAAGAGAAAATAATTCACAAGACAGACGTGACTCCCACTACCAAACAGAACAGCTGCCAATTTAATCAAAATCCTTCTTCTTCTAATATTGCATCATAACACATTGTGAGGTTTATGTCTCTTTAAGGTTCCTTTCACTACTCGCTGTCTTCCCCTCCTCAACTACACCCCATCAAATATACTGCTCTCTACAAAGACTTCACCCAAATAAAAAAATCAGGCGAATTTCTCTCTCCTATCCACCTTTG